CCTTACAGCTTGAGCCTAAGTGTGTCGCAGGATACCCTCTAGGTGATAGTTATTGATTACTTTTTGATAAATAATTCGTCCTTATTGCGAAATAGGAGCACTATTTATCAATCTGTAATAGAAGACGTGAGAAAATTCTGTCTTTTTTAAAGACAAAAATTTTTGAGGTGAAATACCCAACAAGAAGTTTGTAAAAAAACATCTTTTCTCTTCTGTAAAGATTTTCTCAACCGTTAACCGTTGAACTATTTACTAAAGGACCTCAATGCCGCATGAGCCATTTAAACAAAGTAGTATCTCTTATATAAGCGCAAATAAATAAATACTTCGTCTTAATTTAAAGAGGAATAAACTTCAATTATTACTGTGAAGGGTCCGATGGATACGCCGCTGAGAGACGGGCTAAACAAAATTAAACTTTTATCAACATTAGTATAATCTAAAGTGCGCTTTAAATAAATTGTGTTGGTGTTCTGCAGAATTATTTAATTACATTGTAACTGAGCATATTTTGTAATTCGGCTCGTTTTCTAAATTTTAATATGGTCCGGACAAAGAACTAATCTTTTGCCTTGTGCTGCTAATGGCTTATAATGATTACCTCTACACATTTGATAATTTCCGGACAGAACAAGCAATTTACTCCAAATACTATGTGCTTTTAACCGTTTAATCAATCAAGTGCCAAAATTTCCGCTCTTTATGATGATTTGCATTAATTTATATTTTCTCTTGATTTTCTCTTGTGGCCTATTTGGCGCCATTGCAGATTTTTCAGTCCGAACTCTTAATACTTTTAACATTACTTTCACTCTTTTTTAATAATTAAAAAAAATGTTCACTGGAAAAACTACGAATATCGAGCAAACATTTTAGCGAAATCGAAGGCGTAACAATCGGAATTATCCTGTGAATCTTGTGCCGCAAAGATGAAAATTAACTTTTTATATAACTTGTAATTTTCTTGATCTCTGATCCATGTGAATAATGATCAGAATTTCGTGTTGAATTGTAATCCGCACAGAATGTATCGTTGAAAAACTATAAATGAGTACGGTTTTTTAGTTAGTGGCCGGCAAATTAGTAAAACTTGAAGAAATGCCATTTTATTCGACATTTTTCGAGTCATTGAAAACCGTGGAAAATAATAAAAAAAATAATCGAAACCATGTGATTTCAATTATTACACAACATGAGATATGGATATGGTCGGCTTGACATGTGCGCAATATCATCTTGGTCTAGTAAATGGAGATATTATATAATTTTGGCCATTTTTCGATTAAATAATGCTGCATTTTAGTTTTAATCGTCATTTGGTTGGCGCTTGTAATCTGCTTACCCCATATCCATCCGTGTTCGATAATTTGGAAACTGGTTGCGATTGAAATCATGGTTGAGAAGCACTTAGGTCGTGATTATACATTTAAAAAGAAGCACAGCACTCTCCAACCAATAAAAGAAGATAAATGCTCACACAATACAATGAAAAAATTATTAAGCCAGCAGATGGCAAGAAACAACAGTCGTTTCGCAAATATTTTTACAGCTTTCAATTGAAAGTCTTACTTCAAACTACTTAGGTCGCAATAGCTACTAGTTATTATGGGCCATTATGTTATTACGCCCTCAAATGCTTTAAATGCGTAAAAATGGCTCCCTGAATTTGCTATGGGCTATAGGCCTTGAGTCACTTTATTTGAATCTAACATATGGAGATCTCTATTTCGTTTCCTATCTTTAATTTTCTTCCTCTACCTACAAGGAATTGCTACTGGACATATACAGGTCAAGAGGCCAAGTTCATTATGGAATCCAGAGACTTTCTTGCATTTATATGTTGGCTTAAACTGGTATAAGTAAATGTTGTTTGAGCGCTGCCGATACAGCAAAATACTTTTTCACAATTTTTGCAATTTGGATTTGCTCAGTGAATTTAATTTAAATTATTTGAATGAACAGTTAGTGTTTTCAGAAACTTTAGGAGTCATCGAGAAAAAAATTAATAAGAGACATTTAAAACCAGACTAATTTATTCAGTGCTCGTTTTAGAAATGCGCTCTAGTTATTGATATTTTTTACTTAGAATCAACATTTTTATGAGTAGATATTTTGCGATTTATTCTTAATTTTCGTAATACATGTAGAATAAAAAACCGCTTTTATTCGGTAGATAATCTTCAGTTCAGTTTGATGTGAATGCTTTTCATAAATTCCATTCTCGTAAAATATTTTTTTAAATCTCAGTGAAATTGATGATAACATATCCTAATGAGCCTGAAAATTAATTTGACGAAATTTCGAAAAATCAGTGCTTTGAGAATGGACAAAAAGCTTAGTGTAATGCAAGAGAGCTTTCAATCAGTCGTTTTTAGGGCTTGTTTGCTTATCACAACGAACTCTAGTACCGAAATTTCGGAAAAGATTAGTTTGCTATCAATACATTTTTTTTGGTAAAACGGCCTAACTTGATCTGCGGTTGTACCTACTTTAAAAAATAAAATATTCAAGCCAACATTCGTTTTTAACTATTTTTTTCAAGACTGCTTTTTTGGCTTTTCATTTTGCTGAGAATTTTTGAATACATTTTTCTAATGCTTGAAACAATTGTATGGGCCAGTGGCGGAGGTTTAGGGGTTGAGTGGGTTTTATTTCGGTTATAACTTTTACAGCACTGGGAAAAATGGAAATCTGAAACCATTTGATTGAAGACCATCTTTTCGAGACAAAAAAGGTGTTTTTAATCAGATGCGCTGAAGTCCGCCGTTTTAGAGGAAACTACAATTTCTTGATAAAATGAAACCCTAAAATTTAGTTCATTTTAGTTTTTATTATTTATTGGTTAATTCCAACAGTCAGATTTACATTTATTAGATTTTCTAAGAGTTAATCGACTTCAATTGAACGGATTTTGATAGAATCTTCCGACACGAATCAGATTGTAAAAAGCATTTTTTCCAAATCGGCGAATAATAGAGCTTTTGACAAAAATACTCTTTTTACATAAAAACAATTTCCCTTAAAAATATGCACTCGATTTTCAACTCTTCCGAAGGGCGTAGAATTGCGGGGCTAAATATTTAGCCCAACAAAATCAACAACTCCGGGAAACGACGGAGTGTGACTTAACGCCTAAAATCACCCATAAGAAATTGAAAAACCCGTAAAAATATTTTTGGTTTATCTTAACAATTCCGTAGTTATATGCAAAAAAAAATATAACGAAGTTTAACTCCCATTTATTTAATAAAGAGGCGTTTGAGCGCTAAGTTTGTCATAAATATTTATTCAATTTTACGCCGTACAACATGCTGGTGAAGTTATGCGAACTAAGTTTGGGCCACTCTGTACAATGTAAATTTCCGTAGTTTTTCGATTGGAACCAGAAAGTACAAGAGCACCAACGACAAGAATCGAAAATGTTTTGCGTTCTGATAGTGGTAGCATTGCAACTCATTGCGGATTCTGTGCCTTGAATTAGGTTACGTCTAATAAGTTACTTGTCAAGATGGTTTTATAAGCAGTGATGTTTTTGTTTGTTCTTGTTATGTGTTAATTTTATTTAAGCAGATTATTTGGTAAATAATAATTAAATTTTGTACAGAACTGGTTGTTTGTGCGATTCGTATGGTCAGGAACATTTTTAATATTGATCATGATGAATGTCAGTGATGAAATTAGTTGGTATCATCCTAAGGTTACAAGGGAAGAGAGTGAAAAACTTCTATTGTCAGGTATATTATAATTATTAATTACCATTTTTATTATTCAGCCGTGTGGAGGCTGTAGTTCCTTATCTAGTTATTTGTTCGGGGAAGTCCTACTACAAGTCAATATTAGTATATCAGAATATTTTGATCAGGCTTATCTTATTTCTCTGATTTTCTGCCAATATCAAAATACTTATAGTAATTGCAGTTTCATTAAAATGGACATGTTTTAATTATTCTCCGTTTATTCGGTTGAATTTCTTGGAGAAAGTTTTATGAAATTCTTGAAAACTGGTTTATTTGGTTGGCTCTGATTTGGTTCTTCTGATAAACTAAATAATGTGACAACATTCCATTCGAGTTTAATTTCTGAGTTTTTTCTAATCATATTGAAAGTCCATCAAAGTCCGAGTGCAACACTTTGATCAGTCAAATAAATTATTTTTTACAGATCCCAAAAAAATCAATGGCCTCTTCATAGTAAGAGACAGTGTTTCTTCCCCCAGTGACTATGTTTTATCGGTGCTTTGCAATAATGAGGTACATAATTATCAAATACGCAGACACCAGGAGGATGCATTTTTCTCCATCAGTAAGAAGTTTGATTAAATTATTTAATTGTGTGTTCATACATTGAATTACTCTTTTAGACGAATTAGTCAAGTGTCATGGTTTAGAAAACCTCATAGACTTTTACAAGAAAAATACCCTCTCTGATGATGGTTTGGTTCTAACTGACCATATCAAAGGTACTCAACCTCCACCTGAAACGCGGCGATATGGTAGCACTAATTTACTCCACAGGTACGAATAAGGCAGAAAATTGATTACGTTGCTCTATATCTAAGTTTGCAACAACTCAAATAGTATTTGAGTTTTCAATAAATCATTGTATTTGACAAATACAATTATTTAGAGAATTATACATTTTCGTAATCTCAACAACGTGTAATCAAGCTTGTATTTATAAATACCCATGTTCATGGTATTTAAACACCAGTAAAACCCCTGCAAATAATTATTGCTACAATCACTGCATATTTCAATATCAACGTCGATTGGAGATTCATTACCAAAGTAAACTTTCTATTATCGGTTGTTATCTTGCACTTCTCGGTAGCTTTGAATGACTCAAACATTGAGAACGGGATATCACAAATAAATAATTATATCTAAAGGATTTTTCATTTAATGGCCAAGTACATATTTCAATAAATCTAATTATTAAATTAATTTTGATCAATTTCCAGAGCTACAGATGTAGGACATTACAGGGTGGTAACTGAGTTACTACAGTCGGGATACCTTGGATTTGACGCCAAGAACCAAGATGGGAAAACGGCTGCTCATCTTGCAGCTATAAATGGACAGAATACTATTTTAAGGGAGTTGATTTTTTACCAAGTGAATGTGAATTTTAGGGATGCCTCCGGCGTAACACCTTTACATGTAAGTGCATTTCAGTAAAAGAGCTTTTGTCATCGCAGATTAAACTTTCCTTTGTGTCTATTTGAATTCGAGCACTATCATCTAGAAAATTATCACACAAATGGCAATTATCTATTATTAAATTCCTTATTTTCGTAAATATCACATCATTGTGTACATTAGTTCATTTAGCGCAGCTGGCATACCAAATCAAGTCGCGTAATTAAATATAATACAAAGGTACAAAAACATGTGGTTATCTACAGTGTTACATATTCAGCAAAATTGCGACTTCAAGTTTCCTTAACACGTAAGAAACCGCTGAACTACTAATAAATAAAAACGGGGTTTTGATGAATATTTTGAGTAATTTCAACGCCCTGAAAAGTACAGTGTTTTAAATGAATTTTAGTACGCATGCAAATATAACCGACCAGATACTGTCAGTTTACTAGTCTCTTTGGGCAAAGCAAATCTCCAAGCCCGAAACACTGAAAATGGGGAAGTTCCCTTACATGTAGCAGCTAATGAGGGCCATATTGAGGTAATCAAAGTCCTACTCAGTTTAAATGCGCCAGTAAATCCCAGAACAAATAACAACATTGTTCCTGCTGAACTTGCCAGAAAAAAAGGACACATTGAATGTGCCGAATTCTTGGGTGAGGGTCGAATTGATTGCGTCAGTCGAATGAAGAACTAATCTTGATATAAATATACAGAATCCTATATATGTCCTACTCCTAAAACCAGCCGGCAGCGATTCTATCATGGGACATTAGATAGGCATGAAGCTGAAGAGAAAATTAAAAAATGTAATCCTCAAAGTGGCGTCTTCTTAGTCAGATATAGTGAGAGGAATAATGTTTATATTCTCACGCTTTTCCATGAAAAGGTTTGGAATTATATCATTAGAGAACAGGTGAGTTTACTTCGCGGCTTTGTACGTACGCATGCTGAGAGATAACTACGCTTAAAGATGTGCATTTTCATATTTAAGGTTTCTGCAGTTTCTGCTTATTATTCAGTACATTCTTATTAGTATCTGTCTTTCATGTACCGCTTTCTTCCCCGTTAAAGAAATATTTATACATTTTTTTCATTCATCCATTTATAGCTGATTCTATCGATTATTTTTGTGCAATGTGTATCAGATTTCGCCTCATAATAATTTTATTGCAGAGATCGACGCTTTGCTTAAATTAGTTTTGATCTTAATTTCTATTCGAATTAAGAAGATTCAATTTGTAAGTATATTTGTTAGATTTTTTGTATGAGTTTGGTTTTTTAAATTTTCGTGGAAATAGTGGTTTATTCTGTCTGAGTTTTGATAATTGATCATTGAATTCTTACCTGTACTGCTCGAATTTATGCATTAAACTATTTAATGTATAATAGGGAAATTTCATGTTCATTGACGATGGCCCGCTACTAAATTCATTAGAACATTTAGTGGAACATTATAGTACATTGCCAGATGGATTACCTACAGTATTGACACATCCTGTTCCACCACCGCCAAAACCTGATGCGCCTCCTGTGAGTTTTCCTCACTTGAAATTCCGTGAACAATTTCACGTTTTTTTTTCATATTAGATATCGACTTTAAAGAAAAACAAGCAACGCAATATAAGGCCAAAACTCAGAGTACCTCAGACGCCAGACGTCCCGAAAAATGATCTTAATAGTTCAAATGTTTTCCAAAACATCGTTTTTACTAGCGATATATGTTTAGCGAATAACAATAACATTCACAGAGAATCAGGAAATGAATTAATTCCTCCTGAAAGGTTGAAGCGTAGTATTTTGATTGGAGAGGGCGAGTTTGCCTCCGTCTTCGAAGGTAATTTAATGCGCAATTTTGACATCGGTACTAAGTAGTTGTCGATTTTTTAGGCCTATTTGTAAAGGAAAATGGTGAGGAACTTAGGGTGGCCATAAAAACTCTAAGAAATGAGCAAATGGAAAATAATAAGGAAAATTTCCGAAGAGAAGCGGAGGTGATGACAAATTTAAACCATCATTGCATAGTAAAGCTTTTAGGAATTTGCCTGGGGCCGCCTTTGCAGATGGTTCAAGAATTAGTTCCTTTAGGGTCGATTTTACAGTACATTGACTCTCACCAGAGTGAGATTAATCCTAATTTAGAGTTTAAAATTTGGGCCGCTCAAATTGCATGTGGTAAGTGTCCCGTTTATTGATAATATCCCTGCAGTAAAAAATATATATTTCTCATGCGTCTTAGGGATTCTTGTAAGTAGTATCTTTATTTTTATCATTTATCAAGTTACGTATGAAAAATCTGTCTTTAGGCATGAATTATCTTGAGGAAAACAGATTTGTCCACAGAGATTTAGCAGCAAGGAATATACTGCTATCCTCTAAGCTTCAAGCAAAGATAAGTGATTTTGGACTATCTAGGGCGCTAAATACAGACCCATATTACAGGCAAGTTTTTAAGTCTTTTGAGCCGGCGTTTATTTAGCCAGCATTTTCTCTCCAGTTCAATAACAGGAGGAAGGTGGCCCTTGAAATGGTACGCTCCAGAGTCTTACAATTATGGCCATTTCGATCATAAGAGCGATGTATGGAGTTTTGGAGTTACAATTTGGGAAATGTATTCCTTCGGTGCTTATCCATATGGAGATATCAAGGGCGCAGAGGTAGTCTTTTAGTTTATGAAAAAGTCCAGAGCTGCGTATAATGTTTTATCATGGTTTCAGGCAATTATACTGATTGATAAAGGACAAAGGCTACAAAAGCCGGAGGCTTGTCCTGAAAATGTTTATAACGAGATGTTAAAATGTTGGGCGTTTGACAAAGATGAACGTCCCACATTTAAAGAACTGTTTCAGTTCTTTCAATCTGACTCGGAATACATAAATCTGGGAGAACTAATAGCTGAAGCTAACCTACCTTAGATATCCGATGTGCCGTTTTATATTTACATTATGTTGATTTATACAGGGTGATTTTTATGCCAAGATTATTTAGATGTATAGGTACTAATGAATCAATCATTTATTATGATGACACAATTATATTTTTCCATTGTAGTATTTTTATCTACTATGTATATTTGCTAGACCAGCAGGTCTTTCCAATGTTTTTTTAAGAGATTTTATAAGTTGCAATTTTCTCACTTAGAGATTGTTACTTCTGCCATATAATAAATACTTTATTTATATATTGTTTTTTATTTATGTTTTACTACCTGAAGCATATCGTTCAACTCGACGTTCAATTTTCCTAATACTTATTAGGTAACTTTTCAACAAAAAAACCTGTTTGTAATCTATTTATTTCAATCACATTTTTCACTGAAGTCGGTCACATACAAAATTACATACCTCTTATTGGCACCAACCGGGAAGAAAATACATGTTTACCGGCATAGCGCTAATTAGTTTAACACTGTATTCACTAATTTTATTTAGTCAATGCAAGCCACTTAACTGACATGTTTTTCTACGAATTGGATGACCATTAAAATTAAGTGTTAAACTGTTCCTTAGATGATTACCAGGGACGCATCATCTTTCGTTCGTATGCTTTTTCTGCAGGTTTAAAGCTTTTGTTATGGTGGCATTCTGAAAAAATATACATTTGCCAAAGTTTAATAGAGTAGGCGCAGGAAGGTTGCTTTCGCTTAAGAAACCACATCCAGCCTGACGTTCATCTTCCTTCTTTGTTAATTATTGTCCAATGTAGGACTGTTAATAATATGCGAATGTTAATCTTGTGATTTGTCTTCCAGCCAAGGCCTGAATATTGGTAAAGTAGATGGGTAATGCGTTCCGGACTTATTTCCATTTTCGTCGTCTGCAGATCTTAAGGGATACGTCGCCATTATTATTGGCAGTTGCAGCTTCACTTCTTTTTGTAAGCCACTTGGTTCTACTATAAACTAAAAGTTTGCATTAGATGGAATTTTGAAATTGTAGGTGCTAACTTACGAATACATCATAATTAATCCTAATTAAATGGCACCCTCTTAAATTAGTAGGAGGCAGAGGCAGGATATAGAGTTGCTCGTTATCCCACTCATCTTTTTCTCCTGGTCGAATTTTCCCTCTGGTTAGAACCGCTAACTCTCGTTTCTCGGTTTGAACCGCTTTTCCTCTAGCCATGTACGTTATCGTTTCAGTTAGGGCAGCTTTTGTACTTTTTATTGTCAGCCTACTTCGGTTCGATACACTGGCCGACACACCTTGTGGCAAAATAACTAATAAAAAAAACCCTTAAAAACACTAATTGCGGAATTTTTACCTATACTTTCACCTGGAACGTATCCCCCTCTGTCCAAGGTAACTTTACAGATCACAGCTCCGGAGCCCACACAGCTAACACCGAATTTATGTTCTACTTCACATCTGAACGTTTCCTGTCCCGAAATTGTCTAAATTAGATAAGAGGGAACATAGAACAGATATATTAGAGAACATGCAGGGGAAGGCTATCTGTGGAAAGAAGTACATAAGCAAAGTGCGGGTTATTAACTAGATACAACAGATAAACATTTCACCTGATAGACACATCGATCAAAATACCCGTAACTCAGCCCAAAAGCTATAAAGAATCTAAAAGTGCAAATACGTTTTTGGTAGGGAATTGTGCAACTGAATTTGGTCAATTTTGCTTTACGTTTGAGAAATATTTAGAAAGTTTTTTTCAGAAACGATCCGTTTAGATTTTTTGATAAATTGCAGTAAGCAATAGAGAAGATAATGTCTGGAAACCACTAAAATTCGTGTGATGCGAAGATTGTTGAGCAAAATTCAATCTTGCGATTTTTTTGCAACGAATACTTCAAATTGCATAACACATCAGAACCATTCCTTGATTTGACTAAACAAACCTACTAACTACTTTCGTCTACTTTACATAGCCAACAACCGCCAATAAAAGGACGGAAACTCAGTCCATATCGTACCCATTCCGAAGCAAAACTTTATACAATCCTTTGGAAGTCTTACCCCTAAAATGGCAGGTTCTAAATTTAAATCTATTGGATTCATCACTATGAACACTTGTTGGTTTTTGTGGGTAAGTCCATTGGGTTCCCTGAGGGCCGTTTTGCAGTAGTACTGAACCCATCCATGCTTCCCCAAAAAGGTTGACGGTAGTCCTAAGGGTAGCCCTAGTTTGAATGGGAAGCTGTGAATTCCAGGTGAAAGAACTGATGGACCCTGACCTGGAATTTTCAATTTTTGCGGTGTTTTTCGCGGTTTTTAATTGTTTTTTTGTGCGAGTACCTACCAGGTTCCCCCAGTAATCTCATCCTGAAGTCGATGTAGTTTTCCTTATCGTACACCCTTTCTTGTCGTGGAGTTCGCACTCTGACTACACCTTCTCCTACTACATGAAAATGTAGACCTGCGGAAGAAAACAGTATTTATTTACACCGGACGGAAAATTGTACCCGCCAGTGGCGGCGCTAGTTTTATTTTCCGCTTGAGCGAAAAATTTTACATAGTCTGTTTTACAAAGTATTTTGTTTCCTTCTTTAACCGAATATAATGTCAACTATTTTTTAGTTATTGTTATTTAACATTCAAGCGTTGCAACGATTCATTTTTAGTAAGCACTTATAACGACATGTTTTTGTCAAACAAGAAGCTAACAGAGTTTGACAAAACCTTGCGTGTCCCAATATAAATTTACAATGCAAATATTATACGAGATTTTATCACTTTCGTAGAATAACGAACTAAATGTTACAAAAATATATTTCGCAACTGTGAACATTTTTTTAAACGTTATTATGTTGGAAACAAGTGCTGAATGAAATTCGCTACAACACTAGTATTGTAATAAAAACCAAACATATTTTTTGATTTGAATAATTCCTTTTACTAAACGAAACAAGATTTAAAATTTTTAAATTAACGAATAACATTATAAACATTGAAAAAAACTTTAATAAGGTAGCGAAATAATTGAATAATGAAATAGTTATTCACGCATAACATTAGAAGAGGCATTCTTCTATTATTACGCTTAGCAGCAAGCGAATCTATAACTCAAAAGCTATTTTTTTTGCAATATCTTTTCTAACAAACAAAATGCCCAAGTCAGTAAGCCTATCCTGACTCATAGTTGTTCTTAAATAATTTTTAATTCTCTTTAAAGTGCTGAAAGATCTTTCACAACTTGCCCTAGAAGATGGTACTGTCATTGCAATATTATATAGTTTATTCATTTCATGCAAGACTATACTAAAATCTTGCAAAAAAAGTGTGAGATCAGAAATTGTTTATTTTTAGATTGTTTCTGAGCAATTGGCATTGACTTTGTCTCGTTTTCAATTGAAACTATATCACAATGGTAATGGTTAGCTAAAAGCATTATAAACGCAAATACAATAGCAAAAATACAACGCAAAAGCAAATAAACGTTCCAAGTTAAAAAAATGAATTAAATGTACTAAATCATGTTTTTAAACCCCGCTTTTTTTTCTACAGCCCTTTTCCAGTTCTTGTAGCCTTCAGAAGCAAAACTTAAACTGCTGGTTCCGCCTTGTTTAAAGATAAATCTACATCTGAGAATGCTGTACTTAATCCAAGGATGCATGATATAATAACTGGACTTAAAACCACAAAGATCACAACCATACTGTTTTTTAGGAAAACTTGCTACGCCCGGCTGTCTTGAAAGTTCATGTAGCGATAGAGCCAAACCAATGACTTCTTTTTCCTCGATATGAAAATATTTGGCATTTGTCCTAGCAGGAAACAATTAGATTAGAAATTATTTAGATTAGAAAATAATTTATTAATATTAAGTACTTACTTAAAAATTTACTTTTCAATTCCCGAGCAACTCGGTATGTTTTCACGTTCACTATCATTATTGTCGAATATGATCTGATTTTTTTAAATTTGCAATTATTTATATCGCTATTTAAAGTGGTTGGGCGCTCGCCCAACCTCGCCCACCCCAAGAGCCGCCACTGTACCCTGCTGACTTGGGTTTTTGTATTTTTCAGGTATGATGATTATTATTATGTTTGATTAATTAACATTTTAAAGGTCATTCATGTTTCAAGGAAGCTTTGCTTGGAAATGCAAATTCGGTTTGCTAATTTGCGTCCTACACTCTCTGTTTCATCGAACATATGCCATACGCATTACGGATGCTTTTAATTCCTGTACATTTTTCTGTAATTATTGCTGCGGAAAATTGCGTCCCTATTACGTAATCTGTGGTTGATTTGTCCTTTCGTTTGTCTGTTTAATATTTTGGAAGAAGAAATTTGGTCCAAAACCGGTTCTAAGTAGGGCATCTTCTGCTTCTAACTGCCCATGACCCCAAAATGAGAAAGATTTACCATTTTAATCCACTTTGGCGCAAGAACGATGATTTGTTTTACCACGTATCGTTCGAGACGTAACAACATGAATAATGTTGTGGAGTTAGACCGATATTAAACTCCTCTAAACAAATATGTACATTTTATTTACGAACATCTTTGCTATTTGGGGCCACAGAACGTGAATAGCACTTTAACAGAATTAGTTCATAGAAATCCGAATGTTTAACATTTTCTGATTAATCTTGATTGTCGACTTCGCGGTAATTGCTTTGCTTAAAAGACTCGACAAGATTCTGCATAAAGGAATGTGGATTTTTTATTGATGGCTGTCAGCACTTGTCCAATAATTGCTCTAGAAGAAGTAGGTTAGCGAAATTTCTATAAATCTTCTGGTAATTCATGAAGGGAGATTTGTACAGATTTCGCTGCCTACCTTCTTCTCTGGCTCGAATGCGAGCGTCCGATGTAAATATTGCAGACTATTCAAACAACTTTCTTTGTTCATGTATATCTAATTTTAATATCATAGTTTTGACTCGCTAAATTTTCCGCTTTTTATATTGGCTTTCATGAATCCTTTTTTACTGCAAAACCCTTCGCAATTAGTTGACTCCAATTAGTCACGTTGATGTACTGTTGAATAGTGTTTTTGTTATATTTATCACAATTATAATTTAGGCAAGCAATTAAAAGCAAAAGTTAAATATTAATGATAATGGACTAAATAATAATAAACACAAGGCAGCTTCCCTGTAAGTTAAACGCTGCCACAGCATTGAGTGAGCTCAACGGGCAATTAGTGCAGTAACCTTTAAGGCCTTTGCTAAGACTATAGATTATTTTACTGTGCTAGTTGTGAATATCTGCATTATCTTCCTCATGTTGATTTGAATTTTCATATACTTTCAAGGGAAACATTTCCATTTAATTCACATGGACAATGTGAAATAATTCATTACTACAGACGAAATATCCACGTGAAAATTCGTATGGTTTAAAGCGTCAACTTTCGACGATCAGTGCATTTATCAACATTACCAAATAAGGCCAAAGGTACCTAAGAATAGTATAAGCACGTACCTAAGGCAGGTGTGTCATCTTGTAGTTCGATAAGGACCCTACCCGATAAAAACTGCCCGGGGAAGTACAGTAAGGACGTGTTATCAAACAAAATGAGGAATTTCAAAAGTTTTCTCGGCATTTTTCATCTAGTTAGTCACACTTTAGTACAGAACCACCGATATGGCGGGTTCACCATAACCGAACTGGCTGCCACAAGAGTACGCCTATAATGCTTACTTAATTCAAGCGAAGGTGAGGGAATTCCAAGGCTGTACAGGTGTGTATTCGCGACTGAAATCTTCAACCAAATTCATTTCTTTGATGGTTTATGGGAATACTTGATGGAAAACAGTACCGTCTTTAAGTAGAAGCCGATGTCTCTACATCACCTTCTTCGCTTCTCTTCAACTACGTCCCACAATCTAATTAGAAGTACAGTTAGTTTAAAAAACCTGCTGGTTTTGCCGGCAACTGTACGGATTTCGTCTTGACGTTTCGGTTGCACAAATGGCTAGCATCTTCAGAGGAGTGTTCGCTTCAATCAGTTCAGTGTATGCAATTGATAAAGACAGCCTAATAAGTTATTTTCATAGCTATTTTGCTCTGAAACAATCACTGTTTTTCCACTTGGATTTTACCTAAAAACCTTGCTTTGGCTCATAGTATACGTACTTTGTCATTAGTTTGGCAAGCCGCAGCCTGAATCATTACTGAGAACCATATTTAACCTTTAAATGTCGCGATATCCTGAATGAACTATATTAACACCACTGAGCTGAGAAGTGCAGCAAAAGCTCAACATTCATTTTGCCAATAAGTTAAATGCACATCGGCTAATGGGAGATGGTTTAATTGCATTTTTAAAATATGAAAACAACCTTGGTGCATTGATTCTCCTTTTGATTTTGTGGTATTATTTGTTTGGTTTTGTCCTAATTGTTTGTAAAACAGCTCGACGAAATAGTTCCCGATTAATTTTTTAAGTTCTGTTGTCCAAGATGAAGATATTCCCGCGTTTTATTTGAGTTTGCTTAGACATTATTCGTGATCTACCTTTGACTAATAATGGACGCTTTGAAACGCAAAATTGCATTTAAACGCCAAAAAACTTGCAATCAATACATTTTTCCATGCTTTTTGCTTGTAATAAATTCACTTTCATTTTAGTTTTAAGACTTAGCACGACCGTAACCAAATACGCGACAAAAAAGAAAAAACTGTTTTCGTGATTTCCCTAAGGTTGCCGCTGCATTAAATTGATTTGCGCCCTAATTTCTCAAGATATTTTCGATCGAGTTTACTGGGCATATTTGTCCAACGAAAATGACGCAATATAAAGTTGAGATGCATACAGTATAATATGGATATGCGTACAGTATACAGTTTCGCAATTATAGCCCTCTTGAAATATAAAATTTCCTTTATGCCTGTATACACAGCAAAATAGCCATAACAAGAGATTGTTATTTTACGATCAAAAAATCGTTATTTGTATTATGCAGCCCCATTAAACATCTACAATGAATTTAAAATGTCTCTTAAATCAAATGGGTATTGTGGTTGCGCAAGTTTGTTTTGGAGATTGAAACTTTGCAAATATCATTGCAACCATAGGTTAGTCAACAATTTCGACACCGAAATAGGATTGTTTAAGCGTAAATTATTTTAAAACTAACTAATTGTTGTTTGAAGTGTTTGCCTTCTTTTGTGCCGCTTTTAATTACTAAAAGTTGAGCGTAAACCCTTTATCACTGGGAAACAAATAATCAAAACATTTCGCTATTAAAGTTCGCAGCTAATTTCATTTCGGTCTCTGCTTTGTCAGACCGCAAAATGAACTAACGGCAACGTTAAAACAAACCAACAAATGAAGAATTTGAAATATCTTCCAAGTCTGACAAGGGAGAATCAATACAGGGGCATCAATAACAGAAACAGAAACTTAACAGGTTAAATGAAATAAGCGGCGCGGCGGCCACAATAACTTACGGGCATTGGCGTGTACCCGATAACTAAGGGATGCTTTCAGACAGTTCTACTAAAATTATCTCAAATTATGTCCGAAATAGCACAAAAAACGCATGAGAATGCTCAATTATTCTAGTCCAAGCGTTGGCGCCAGGATCAGTCATTTCATTTTGTATTTTTGGTATATTTTAAATAAAAAAAAAATACAAAGTTGCGGCTTTTTGCCTTCAACTCTAGCAACTGGCGAAACGGGTCAGATTCATTTCAGATTAGTTTGCCAATTTATAAAATATTTCGGAATATATACATTTAACGGTAAGGATTCCTGTGCCGTCAATGTTTGCAGATATATTAACTGAAGCTTCGTTCGACGTGTCGGCACTAAAAACCGAAGGCTTTTCGGAATTATATAACCATCAAAGATTATCCCCTTTCGGCGACCATTTCGATTTACTTAAAATTGACCTTTCACTGCACGCGGAATTACTTTTGCTGTCCGTTCATGGACTATTGCCACTAATTGAAAGCCGCCGATTGTATTGGAAAGCCCATTTCCCTGCCAGCTATTTTCCTGCAACGTTTTGCCCATTTTTATCTTCCCTCAACTTCATTGGGCTACAGAGTTTATGGAAGTGTAAAAACATTTTTCGTTTCTACCTTATCCGGCTGTAGTCGCATACCTCATGTAAACTGAGTACTTGGTTCTAATTCTAATCTTCTATAATGGCCAGCCTTTAAGAAAATATTCGAAAATCAGTAGGAAGATTCCTTTGCCAAGCAGATGAATAAATGCAGATTAAATTTCCTCGACCAGGCTTCTGTTGTTATTGTATTTCGCATAGAAGGAATATATGTATGTTGTGTTCGTTGCTGGCTCACACTTGGAATGGAATGAAAATCGTGACTTTCTCGAAATACATTATTTTCACTGAAAAAATATCGGCATTTTAATTCCATTACAGAAACAGCAACGTCGTTGCTCCTCACCAAAAAGTTTCGTGTTGCACTAAACAAAAGTGTTCCTAAAACATTTTTCGGAAATTCTGTTACAAAATACTCAAAATAATTAAAAGTAAACGCATAATAATAAAGTTCAGTCTGGGAGTGTGCATATTTGCAACTTGCATTTGTAGAGCTTTTAATGCATATTAATGGTATGCTGTTAAATCCTCTTAAGCACATACAAGCTGGAATTTCAGCAAATCGTCAAACGGACTTGGATATACACATTTTTCAGTAATTAGTTTTCTATGAGTATGAAAATGAGGATCGTTCTGTGAACATTGGCTATGGAGTTTCAACGAATTTTATACAAATTATAACTTTGATAATTTGCAGAAAATGCACAATTTGCAAAATGAATAGTTATAATTAATTTTGATATAGGAAAAAACCCAATCCAATCTTTCAAAACAACAGGAAGAATTGAGTTGAAACTTACTTACTTACTTAAAAACTATATTGCCGCTGTACGATATAAGCTTTGGATCGGCTATGAATTATCAAATATTTGCAAATTTATTCCAGAACTCAGAGATAAATTTTCGGTGTGCTATTTAATAAACCGAAATGGATGTCGGTGTGGTTTTTATGGGACAATCTTTATCCTGAAAAACACAGTATTTTTATTTTTTGCCCATTTCTAGCAGTTTAGACGCAAACAAACTACTCACAACAACAAACAAAATACTAATAGCACATTCGGTATATTATCACTTTAACAAAATTCTTTATTTCACTTTTCTTTTAGGTTCATTTATCCAGTAAGCCTTTAAACTTTTTGTGTAATTGAAAGGAATATTAAATAATTAGAAATTATAATACGTAGTACAATTTCGGCGATGATAAATTATATTTTTTATTTTAAAATAATTAAAATGCTACTGTCTGCTGTACTTAGAAGTATGGTAGTTTGCAATGGGCGATAGTGAGAGAGTAAAAATTGAGAACAACACGACCGGAATAAAGTATATGTTTCGGAGAAGTGGTTGAAAGGCAATAAATGCAAATCAGAATTGTTAGAACGAAGGAACACACATTTAATAAAATAGTATGACCTTCGTTGGTTGTAAACAAAAGAAAAAAATTAGCGTTCTTGCCACAAAAGAAATCGATTTGTTTTATGAGAAATAGCTTGTTTTCTGTTCAGCTACACTTCATCGAACAGGGTCGACGACGTTTGGTCACTGGAGACAAATCATTTTTCTCGGGATCCGAAAAAATACGTTCCATAAGCGTGAAAAGGATCTTTAGATTTATGACATGATTAAATAACGTCCCCCAATGTTCCTCCATCATGCGAATTAACTTACGATCGGTACTTTCTGGCCAGTTTCACCGGTTCATTCAGTTTTATAAAAATTACATTTCCTGTAACTGTGTTCGAGCCGTGATAAGTTTTCCATGGGGATTCCTCAAATTAACTTTTCAACTTCTGGTGCAAAATGTTTTTTTCTGCTGGTAGAAATGACACTTTGTTAAAATTTATCGGGAAATAATTTGCAAAGTATATTTGCAAATCTGTTGGTAAAACTATGAAAAGTAATGGAATTTGGAAACCGGGATGCCCCGTAGAATTAATTTTGCCCCTAGCATGAAAAAGGAATACGAAAGGCCAAAGAAGCAGAACGCTGTTTGTTTGGTTTAGAAATGTCATTACTATTCAATTCACGGCTAGTTGTCGAGCAAGCCTTGCTATCATTCCTGTCTTTCTACATACTGCACACCCTTTTCTGTGTGAAAAATATCTGAGGCCCTAGTTCCACTCTTTTTGTTTGTATTTTCTGGGGGCAGATAATCTCGATGATATTTTTTATACGCGTCTTTCTGATATTGGATGACACTTTTTATTTTGCACCCAGGAAATCTATCCCAAAAGGGTTACTGGAAATTTGTCTTGTAAAGATTATGTAGTTCGTTTTCGATCTGGGCTTTTGCTTATGTAAAGACGACCCTAGCTGGGTTGTTATTTGATTCTTTCCAATTTCCTTCTCACTGTTCTGCGAATTCCATTCGCATGCTGTGTTCATTTACAAAATTATATCAATTGAAAAGTATCATGATGTATATCAGATTGAAGTCCAGTTGAATTTTAGAATACTGCAGTTTCTTAAGTATTTTATCCTTTGGTTTATCAGTGACGGAAAGCGTGGAAAGCGGCATAATCGACCTGAAGCTATTTGAATAATTGTTAATTTTGCAGCGGCGGATCTCCGGTAAGGGAAAACGAGTTTAAATTGTGCTAGTGAAAATTGAGAAAATATGTTCAATAAATAAATAGTCA